GGCCGCGCACCTGGCGCAGGTGAGGCGGGAGGGGCCTCCGCGGGCGCGGCCCCGCCGCCGCCTCGTGCCGCGCCCCTCCCCCGTCCTACCCCCCTCTATCTCCCCCTCCCATATTCGCGCTGGTACTTTTATATTTATATGTTTTATCTCCCTGCTCAGATCAGGCGAAAAACGTAGGCGCCCCTAACGGCCGCTGCCGTAAAGCGAGGCGCGGGCGGCGCGACAGGCCGGCGGCGGCGAGGACCCCTGCCGGTGCGGCGGGCGCGCGAAGATGGCGGCGGGCGAGGCGAAGTCGGTGCTGTTCGTGTGCCTGGGTGAGCGGGCGCCCGCGCCCCGCGGCAGCGCGAGCGGCGCGGCCCGGCGGGAACGGCCCGCGGAGGGGCCGGAGGCGGGAGGCGCGGCGGCCGCGGCGCTTCTGCTGCGGGATCGGCTGGCCTCAAAAACGGGGAGAAACGAGCGGAGCGGCTCCTCTGTGGGAAGAGGATAACTGTTACCTAACCCGTCATTCAGTAGGAAAAGGAGCTTGGTGCGCGGTGGGGATTGTTTTGGTCGGTGGAGTTACGGCGGCCCTGAAGGGCGTGAGGAAAACCTGGCTCCTTTTCCCTGCAAGTTGGAGGTTTGTGCAGGTGAAGAGCTAGGCCACAGATTATTCTTTAAAAAAAAAAAAAAAAGTGCTTTTGTCTGTTTGAGAATCCCTTGTCTGTCTGAGAATCACGTGTTGTAGCATGTTGCGGAAAGCAGAAGTGCAGATGTGTTCAGAAAGGGTTTGGATGTGGTCCCGGAGTTCAAGGTAACTGGCTGCTGATAAGCAAGATCATCCGGGGCGTTTTCACGAGCAACAAATTCCTAACCTGACTGCTGGGAGGCTTATGTTAGCAAAAGAGCACGTGGCCTTAACCTGCTTTATGTAAGTTTTCTCTAAGCACCTGCTTCGAGCCTCCCTTGAGGACACCACTCTCSATAGGTCTCTGCTCTGATATAGTCGAGTTTTCACTGTTATCTGSCCCCTGTAATCCTACCTGCCTTCTGGGGTTTAATCCCTGGAGTCTTCACTGTTGTTTTGTTTTGTTTTTGTTTTGTTGTTTTTGTGTTTTTAATTAAGAGTTTGGTTACAAAACAAGGAATGGATATTTGTGTGCTATCTGCTTTCCTGTCCTAATAGGAAAGGAGATTAGTTGRAAAGCAAAACAGAGTTTAGTTTGATGAAATGTATCTTGTTGCCCTATTGCAATAAAATCAACCCTTAATAATAAATTAGGGAAGGCATCCTTTACATACGAAATTATCATTTGCTGTTTGGAGCCACTGGCCTCTGGCAGACCTTTTAGTATAAGGACATATAGTTCAGCCTTCTCTCTGAACAGCAGGTTCTAACAACAGCAGATTTCACCAAATGATTCATAAATATCTATGGGTTTGTAAGGCCGTGATGGTGATTTGCACATTCCTACTCCAGTGTGGTTCCTGAGCAAGTATTTTCAGTGAAAGTTAATAAAAGTGTTGGTATAAAAACAAATTATTTTGAGTTTTGAGGAAAATACGAGCAAGTCAGAAAGTTCTGATATTAATAAATGCTTGAAATTCCTTTTTCTACCTTATTGGTTTGTAGAAAAGTAACCTAATAGTAGACTTTGATAGGCATGTGTAAAGCTGATTTAAATGATAACACTTTYTTTTTTTTTTTTTTGTCAGATATACACTTTATTTTTTTGGGAACCTTTTGCAATTTCTTGTAAGAAATTTGCCTGTTTTTTATTAGTTTTGAAAAGTAATGTTGAAATTAGATATTTTCCCTCCTTCTGCTTAGAAGTAATACCCTCAAGATATTGCTGCAAACTCTACTAAACAGAATTCTAGAATTGCAGATACCTTATTTGCTGATTAACAGGACCCATTARTTCTGAGAGCTGATACCCAAAAGCATGAGGCATTTCTTCTTGAAAAAAAGCATTTTCTTTCCACATTATTTTGAAAGAAAACCTATTACAGAGATATCCACTTACCAACTTACTGTATTGAAATATCCATTTACTGTATTTATTTGTGATGAGATAAGCAGATATTCATTGCACTGCAWAATAGAACCTAGTTAATATGCATAATTACACTAATGACAGTTTTCCCCTATTAATGAAAATTAAAMGGAGCGTCTGACAGCATATGTGATTACAGTATATGAAAAAGCACCTAGAAAGATTTTTTTTTTTAAGCCAAAGGAAGATTTGTAACTGGACATGAACCAAAAATCAGTTAGTTTATAGCTGCAGAATGAGAAGCAAGAGCTTGAATAAAGCATTGAAGAGGTCATCATAAATAACTGCCTTAGTGGGGTTTCTCAGCATGCTGACAAAAAGAAATAATATAATTTTTGGAAAAGGAAGCAAATATAAGAAAGGAAAATGTGTTGCTTCTGTGCAGCATTAGAAGGATASCTGGTGCCTTATTCAGTCCATCACTGAGTGATACAAAAGTTAGCATGGCCATGCTAACTGTCATGGTCATAAAAGTGATCTTGATACTGGAAAATAAGATTTTGATGCATGTTTAGAAAGGTGGAGAGCTTGATCATTATGGGTAGGTGCTTATTTGTTGAAAAGTGCTATTGCTGAGGAGCTTGGGAGGCTACTGGCTTTTTGAGAAAAGCATAATGATTAGTTAATAATTGAAAATCATTCTTGTTGCAGAAAAAGAATTTTAACTTTTTAACATCCACATGATTACATGGTGGTTTGAGTACCATGAATCCTACTGAGCGATATGGGTACTGAGATTGATTATATTGGCAAAACCCCCTCTGACTAGGGACTTGGGCACCTAGGACTCTTCTATTTTGWTATATAGAAGATACCTCCATTTTGAGGTCTTGAGCTCAGGTTGATTTGCACTTTTTTTTTTTTTCCACCTCCCTTCAACATTCTTAAGCTAGTATTTAACTTCTCTGTATGTTGGTAGGGTGGGAAACATGTGGAAATCATGCAAAGTTGCTGTAAACCTGGCTCTTCCAAATTGAAAATGGTAGCAGGAATGTATGCCTTTGCCAGTGAGTGGAAAGGACTGCACTTACCTGATCTCAATCTCTTATCTGATGCCATCACTAAGAAGCATATTTTTGACTTCAAAAGTTGAAAATTTAAGCAAAATGTGGTGGTTATCCTGTCTACCATAAGGGCTATGAATCTGAGCCTGAAATGGTTATAGATTCTCTTTTATGTCCTTAAGGGGATTGATGGGGGATGAATATACAGAGTGGAATAAGAACTCAGAAAACATATGGGCTGCTTGGATAATTGTAGTATTCTTGTCCCTAGAAAATGAGTGACAAAACGACTGTAAAAGTCATCAACAAATGGGTCTAGTACTGATTCTATGAGYGAGGTCTTGTACCTTGAGACATCATTTGGAGATGAATATACTTCAATTACTAGCTTTCTGAGCTCGAATATGTGTCTGCATTTTAACTTGAATTTTTTAAAAATAAGGATAGTAGAGATTCAGAACTTTCATACGAGTATCTTACACATTATAGATGATAGTGTCAACATTCATTTTAAGTAGCACGGACACCATAGAAGAGTGAAAATAGTTTGGGTCATGTCATTAGGTAACTCAGTTCAGGCAATGAGGAAGGCTAAACAAATAGGAAAAAAAAAAAAAGGGTTTTACTCCAAAGTCGCTTAGAAATTCTGAAAGTAGTTAATGAATTAGTAGGAGCCGTAGTATTAAGTATACATCATTATTTATTTGTTACAGAATGTTTAGATTTAGTAATGCAATTTACTGTGATTGTGTAACTGTGCATGAATAGAACAGTTCAAGCTGGAAGATCTCCCTGCAGTAAAACTTCCCCCTCYGAGCCTCTGTTCAAGCAGGTTCAAGCTGGAGCAGGTTGCACAGGACCGTGTCCAGTCAAATTTTGAATGTTTTCAAGGATGGAAAATACATAACCTCCCTGAGCAACCTGTTCCAATGCTCAGTCATTCTCACTGCAAAAAAAAAAAAAAAAAATTCTTAGGTTCAAGTGGAATCAACTGTGTGTTGGTGTGTGCCCAGAGTCTCTAGCCCCTATCACTAGGCACCACTGAAAAGAGTCTTTTTTTCCATCTTTTCATACCCTTCTCTTTTGGTATTGTAAACATATTGATAACATCTCCCTGAGCCTTCCCTTCTCCAGGCTAAACAGACCCGACYCTCTTGGCCCTTCCTCACATGACAGGTGCTCCAGTCCTCCTTCATGTTCATAGCCCTTGGCTGGACTCACTCTGGCAGGCCCATGCCTTTCTTGTCCAGGTCTGGCCTCAGCAGTACRTGTCACTCCAGCTRTGGCCTCAACAGTGCTGAGTAGAGGGGAACAGTCTCCTGCCTTGAACTTCTGGCAACACTCTGCTTTGCTCAGGGTGCTGTTGGCCGCCTTTTCTACAAGGAGCATTGCTGGCTTGTTCATCAATGCTCAGCTTGTTGTGCCTCAGATGCAAAGATGCTTTTCAGCTCTTTGGCCCACAGTATGTTTTGGTGCGTGGGGTTTTATTCTTTAGGTGAAGTAGTTTGCATTTCCCTGTGTTGAACTTCCTGAGRTTTCTGTCTGCCCATTTCTCCAGCCTGTTGATGTGCCTCTGAATATCAACGCAGCCCTCGTGTGCAAACAACTCCTTTGAGTGTTGTATCATCTACAAACTTGCTGAGGGTCCTTTTGGTCCCATCATCCAGGTGATTAATGGTGATGTGAAACAATATTCGCCCCTGAGGAACACACTAACGACTTGTTCTTGTGCTGCTCTTCATGACCCTTTGAGTCTAAAAGTTGAGCCACTTCTCAGTCCTTCTCACCAACTTTTGATCTACCCTGTAGTTCATCTTGCCTGTGTAGTTCAGCTTGCCCGTGAGGATGTTATGGGAGATAGCAGAAAGCCTTACTGAAGCCAAGGTAAACAGCATTAGCTGCTCTCCTATCATCCACCAAACCATCATCTCACTGTAGAACTGTGTTGGGTTGATTAAGCACAATTTCCCTTTGTAAATCCCTGATAACTACTAAGATAACTTTTCAGTCATTTTTGTGCCTGGAAATAATAGAAGGGTATTGCCTTCTGTATTGCCAGAATTGTTTGCTCTGTCACCTTTCCAGAGCTCAAGGTGAGACTGACCAGCTTGTAGTTCTTTGGGTATTTCAATTTGGCCTTWAAAATAGGGATAACATTTGCAGTCTTCAGGAACCTGATCACAGTGACCTCACGACATCAGCCAGGACCTGCAGCATTTCATCTGCTCCCATGGACTTATGTCCGCTTGGTTTAAGTKTTCCTTAACTTGATGCTTTTTCACTGTGAGCAAGGCTTTCTTTTCCAGTCTTTCCCTTGGTCTCAGGGGCCTGGGATTCTGGAGGGTAAGAGTCTGCAGTGAAGACTGAGGTGAAGTTGGCATTTAGTACCTCAATCTTTTCTGTGTCTGTTTTCGCTGGCCCCCCTGCCTTATCCAGTAGCAGGCCCACATTTCCTTGGTCTTGATTTTGTTTCTTTCATACTAGTTAATGCCTTTTGTTGTTCCTCTTTCTTTTCCTCACCAGATTCAACTCAATAATGTGCTTTGGCCACCCATCCCCATCCCTGCATGCTCAGACCTCTTTGTATTCCTCCCAGGTTACTTGTTCCTGTTTACACCTCCATGCTTCCTTTCTAGGTTTTGGTTTTGTCAGGAGCATCTTGCTCATCCCTGGTARCCTCCTGCCACTTCTGTTTGGTATTTAAAGCTTGTAGGAAGTGATCCTTGAATGTCAGCCATCTCCTTTGGACTCCTCTTCCCTCCCATTTTCCCAAGAATTCAACTAAGCAGGTCCCTGAACAGGCCCAGGTTGGCTCYCCTGGACGCCAGGGATGCAATCCTGCCTTTTCTCCTGCTCCTTCTTTGCAGGAATCTTAACTCCATCATCTCATGATCATGCATCCAAGACTTTATATAAATATATATATATACACACACACACATACACACACATAAACATGTATAGGAAAGCCAAGGCAAGGCATTCTTTTCTGTAGTCCTTCCTTGYTTGTAAGTATATGGTCCAGCTTAACACGTCTCCTTATGTGCTTCTCTGTCACCTGTCAGAAATTTGTCATCGATGCACCCCAGTAACCTCCTGGTCTGTTTGTGCCCTGCTCTGTTGGCTCTCCAGCAGATACCAGGGTGGTTAAAGTCCCCCATCAGGAAGGACCAGGGCCTGCAAAAATGAGTTGAGTGGTATTACTCATTCAGAGGAAAAAGACTATACAGGAAGAACTGGATGGCCTTGAAATTTGGTGTAATAGAAATGGAATTTAATAGTTCAAAATAAAAACTTGAAATTACCTGAAACAACAAGGAATGGGTTAATTAGAAGTAGGAGATTATGATCCCAGATCTGATATTCATGAAGATCAAAATGTGGTCCTTGAAGGTGTTATCCCAAGTTATTTTCAAAAGAGCTAAGCAACTATTTTGGAGATTGCTTTTTTTTTAATATAAAAGGAGTTGGTAAAACTTTTCCTGGAATACTTTGTGTAGGTTTTGTTGTCAGCATTCAAGAAAAATGAATTCAATTTAGAACAAATGCAGGGTTAAGTTAACTAGAATGATTAGATAAGGGGACAAATAATTTCCTGAGGGGGAGGCTGAGAGCTTGGTTTGTTTAGCTTAGCACAACTGCACTTGACAAGAAGTATGTTGGTTCTGCCTCTGCTGAAAGGAAGAAAGGTTTTTAAGATACAGAGTGATGTTAACCAAGATCAAATGAGCATCAAGTTCAGAGCATAAATAATCACTGGGAATTGGAAGGTTTTTGGCTATCAGAGGATATGAGTTTCTCTGCTTGCAATGTAGATAATGGATTTAAAAGGGAACTTGGTGGTATATTTTTCTACAGTATTGAAGGATCAGATTCACTGACTATGATGTTTCGTTTCTGTCTAATGTTCTATGCTCTCTTAGTTACCTATGAAAATGGTACTGCTTATTAGCTTATTTAGCAAAGAAAGTGAAATTTATTTTTTTATATATTTATAAAAAATCTCTCTTTTGTCACTGTCATTTTTAGATTTAAAGCAYTTTTAGATTTAAAGCAACTTTTTCTATTTCTCATTCTATTTTTCTTTCAGATCCAATTTAGYTCCTCAACTTATAATAAACTAATTCAAATAGAGGAAAAAGTAAATTTGTACCTGGAAAAAAAAAAAAAATCTACTGCTGCTATCAAAAATGACTTAATTCATCAGCAAAATTCTTTTCCAAAGTTTTGCTTTTGCTCATTTAGCAATCTGACTTTTACAAAAACTTTGCCAACAAATTTGGCTTGGTTGAATAGTTCACTTTCCATTTTGCCTTTATTATAGTTGACACGATTGAAGACAAATTATTAAACATCCAAGTCATGACAATTTCTTTGTTTTTTGTTTTGCTGAGAAGACAAATGAATAAAATCATACATTCTCTTAGATGGAAGATGAAGGTTTGTTTGTATGGTTAATTGTACATCTGAGTAAAATGCCAAGTATTATAAATCTGCACTTAGTTTCCCAGAATTTTCTGAGGATGAAATGGTAAAGGTGGAAACCAAATATCATAGCTGGTGGGATTGTTTGTTTTTGTTATTGCTTTCTGTGCCTTGTGTATGTGTTTTGCAGTATTTAAGTCTTGCGATCAGAGCCAACTTGCATTCCTAGTTCTCCATACTTTGGAAGAAAAAAATTAGAAAAAAAAATCCTGAAGCGTCATTGATCTTGTGTAATTTATTCATTTATCTTCAGAGTTTTGGGATGAGTAGCTGGAAGCTGCTCTTGAAGGTTCAGTTTGACCTAGTGACTTCCCTTCACTAGTTAGCAGCTCTCTTTCCTRCTACTGGTTGTTAGGCCGTTCCACTAAGCCAGTTCCACACTGGTGGAGATTGCGGTTTGGAATTATCCAAAATTTTTGTTTCATAGGTGGATAACAATGTAAATACTTCAGATGAATATTTATACATGATCCAGTAAMACCTTAGCTGAAAAATGACCATTATGTAGCAGAATTCGCAGATGATCTGCTGTCACTTAGAAATTCCGTGTCGTCTTTTCCAGTCACAGACTCTGTAGAAGAGGAATAGGGCAAGCTCCCTCCTACCTGCTTTAACAAGGTGTATCTTTGCATTTCAAAAGACTGATGCATATTATGCTTCCACTGTTGCAGAATTTCTTGGGACAGAATAACAGCAAAACACATGGCTAAGTAAAAAAATCTTTCATCAGATTTATGCTGATGAATCCATACAGCTCTTTATTTTTTTGGTTTTAGTCATTCTAAGTTTTGATTTCCTATTTTTCTAGGAAACATTTGTCGCTCTCCAATAGCTGAAGCTGTTTTTAGAAAACTTGTAACTGATGAAAAAGTGGAAAATAAGGTAAGCCACTTATATCTGTACCCACCTAAGAAATAACTGTTTGTTAGCCAGTTAGTACAAATATGAACCACGAGAAAGCAAAAATAAAATATAAATTTGTTTTTCTGTAGTGGAGGATAGACAGTGCAGCAACATCTACCTATGAAATAGGAAACCCTCCTGACTATCGAGGACAGACTTGCATGAAGAAGCATGGCATTACCATGAATCATATTGCCAGGCAGGTACTGTACTTTTATTTTCTTTAAATATGTATATGTATTTGTTTTGTGTTACAGTGGATGACAGACAGTGCTGCTGTTTCAGACTGGAACGTGGGGCGCTGCCCAGATGCAAGGGCTTTAAGCTGTCTAAGAAATCATGGCATTGAGACAGCCCATAAAGCACGGCAGGTAGAAGAGAGTATATTTTCTTTCATGTTCATTCTCATTCCTTTTTTCATCTCTAACCATTACACAGAAGTCATGTGACAAAGTTCATTTGCTCACAGTTAAGTGTTACATAATAAACATGTGTGGTCTTTCGAAGGACTTCACAGAAGTTCTGCCTCATGTGGAAATAAAACTTTCCGTGTTCCAGTTTGTGCCCATTAGTGGCCACCACTGAGAAGAATTTGGCCCCATCCTCTTTACGTTGTCCCCTCAGATATTTGTACGTGTTGGTCAGGTCCCCTCTCCATCTTCTCCGTGCTAAACCGGCCCAGCTCGCTTGGTCTCTCCCTCATACTATGGTATGARGGTGTGTGASTCCCTTAATYATCTTTGTCAGTCCGYGCTGGACTCTYTCTAGAAGCTCCACGTCCCTCTTAAACACTTCCAGTTAAAGTTATTATTAAACTTAATTGGGAGTAAAATTATGAAGCATTTGAGCAACTTACTCATTGTAGAAACAATTYGACTTCAATGCCTTAGTATTGTGCACATTTTTCTGACATATTTTTTGAGTATTACTTAAAATGCATGATTTTCTCATAATCTATTGCACTTTTTTCCAGACTGACTGGAATTTTAAAGGCTTGAATTTTTTATTTGACARGTCCAAGAAAAAAATAGAATACTTGTTTATTCATCACTAGAATTTCTGCTTTTGGATGAAAATATYTTAAAAGTTTTTGGGGTGCCAGATTAGAACTAAGGAGCTTAAACACAAGACTAGTGGTAGGATTGGTGGTAATTTAAGAAGAAAACATAATCTTGAAGCATCCTCTATGACAAAAATCATTTCATTTTTCACGAATGAAAGATACTTCCATTTTGCATTCCAGAGAGATCTGAAACAAACATGTCTGCATCTATTTAAAGTTCTCAAATAAATGCACATAACTTATTTCAATTAACTATTCTCTGGATATGAAGTGCTCCTGTAGGACTTGACCTTTTCCTACCTTGAGTTTATGCCACTAGTTCTTGTATTGACAAAACGATCAGGTAGTCATGTTAATGTCTTTCATTTCTGTTCCCTTCAGAATTTTGCTAGACCTTACTGAGGTCATACTTTATTTTTCACTTCCAAAGACTACATGTTTAGTTCTTTAACTTTTTGAAATAAATTCCCTCAATTAGTTGATTGGCCTGTACTAGCTTTTTCTGATGCAAGTCTTCCATATGCAAACAGAATTGAACACACTGCTATTCCAGATTTTGGCTCTTTTACTTCCTATTAGAATAATTACTAGAAAATGTCAGTTGATGTTGTCATCTTTTTCATTACTGATTCTAGATTTACTGCTTATTACTGCTTAAAAGCGGCATATTTTGTCATGATACCAACTTAATGGTACTTAAACCAGGCAGTGTTTCAGTCACAGCAGTGTAATACGTTTGTCTTCTTAAGCCTTGCAAGTGAGAACTGTCCCTGGGTATTATTGGAGCAGTTTATGAACAGTTAGGCAAGTTATCCAAACAGTTGATCCTCTGCCTTGAAGCAGCTCTGCATATGCTCTTTTGGCACAGAGGAGGTAAGAATGCATTCCTGAAGAAATTTGCCCATGCATTTTGGAAAAAAAAAAAAATTTAAAGGAGGAGAGCTTGGAAAAAAAAAAAAAAAAAATAAATAAAGGAAGGCTATAAGTATGTCTGATGATGATAATATGCTATATGTACAGAGAAGAAATAAAAAGGGATGAGACAATAATATGAAAAACTAACAGGATGAAAATAGGTCTAAAACCCCCACGTTCTTTCTGCTAAGAAGGGAATCSGTGACCTGTGGTAACTGTTAGGTTTGTAACTCCACCTTTACTGTTTCCAAGTTCTATCAATGATTCTGATAAGGCCTCATAGGACTTCTAAGCAGTGTACAAGTTGGTTGTTGAGAGTGGTCACATGAGGAACAGCGCTGTGGTGGTTATTCCAGAGCATCCAGGATAGTTCCAGTTTTTCCGTTGTTTCAGAACAGATTGAGAAAGATTGAGAAAGATCAACCATGAGCTGCAGAATTAGAGGAGAGATTTTTCTTCCATTGTCTTCTAACTACTATCATGAGATGACTACTTCAGACAGTTAAAATTTTTGTTCCCCTGGAAAAGTGTGTATCCTGTGAAAGGCACTTTCAAATAATTTAGCACATRTTTATGATGGTTGTGGCTTGCATTTTTTTAATCCAAAAGTGACACAAATGCTACAAGAGTGATTTATGTAAGAGAAAGTATTAAGTTGGTTATATCCTGCAGTGGTATATAATTGTGAGCGGAACTACTGAAGTATCAGCATACATGTTAAGATTTTAACATTTTAGTTGGTAGTAGGCTTCTTGATGTATGTTTATGTACCTATTGAAATTCTCAGTTCTTAGTCTTTGTGTACAAAATGRTTATATTAATCAGTTTCATCTTTATTCATACTCAGGTCAAAATTGATTTCAGTATGACTCATGTCTTACATTTGCCTTTAATGTGAAATTGAGATTAGAAGAACGTTATATTAAACGTTGTGTCACAACTGGATAAATGTAAGGACTACAGCAACTCTGTGGTTTGAGCGAGAGAAAGAGATTTCATTTCCCTTCTGGAGATGGAGGGCAAACGCTTAACATAGATAAATTAGAACAATGACGTGATTTTCCACAAACTGCCTTTGATAATGGTTATGTGCATTTTTTAATGTAAAAATTATTCTTATCTGCGTAGTTCCATCCCAAATTGATCACTTAAGCTCTCTAATACTCTTCCCAAAATACACATTTTAGGTTCCCAAATATGACTAATTTGCCTAGATTTTGGGGAATCTTGAGGGCATTGGCTGCAAGAGCCCAAGCTAACCAGTCATCCTGTGTGTAGGACAGCATCTGCATCACCACAGCGATAGCTCTGCCTCATAAGTTTCAATCCAGGAGGTTTGGCAGGCCCGTTGGTCTCTTCACTGCTTCCCCCAGCCCATCGGCCCTACCGAGAGGTCTGAGCCTGTGTATTTTCACAGGGGCCGGTATTTTGCTGCGCAGAGCTACCAGAAGAAGCCTGTTGAGGTTCTGTAAGGGTTGCTAGGAAAACAGAGCTATTTCTACTGTAAAAATATTTTCATAGGTCAAAAGCACAGCATGAATACGGCTAATATTTTTACAGTGAAAACAAACAAGTCTGCATTAGTTTTCACTATTTAACTGTTTCTTGTCAAAGCTCCTTTCCCTCAAGTTTTCCAYGTGTGAAATGTATCATGTATAGTTTTAATCTTTTCATGTTCTCCAATATTGGAGATTTAATGTTTGCTTGTTAACAGCAAACTATGCTTCATGAAAACTGTGAAGCTTTTACTTCTACTGCCTAAAAAAAGTTTGTATATCTAAATCTTGGAAGTGAAAGCTCTGATGGCTTCTCGGACAATGTGTTACATTTTTCTGTCTTTTCACTTGATTATTTGCTTCTCTAGCAACTGCYATAGAAATACGTACTGTAGAAACCTTGCAAGTTCCTGGGTTTTGAGGCTTACCCATCTTACTCTGGACTTGGTTGTTTGAATGTTACTAGTACATGTGTTTAGGAGTCACTAACCTGCAGAAAGAAAAATAACTGGCAATCTGATGGTACAAAGTTATAAAATAGATCCCAGATATTTTCCACATTGTGTTGTAAATTTGGTGAGCTCACATAGTGTCACTATATTTGTTTTTTAAAAGATAGTTCATGCCACCATACTTTAGCTTGAATTTCACCTGTTATCATTTTTATATAATACAGAGGTTTCTGAATTGTTTTACATGTTTTGTCCCTTTTTTAACTTTTTTTTGAGAATGAAATATTAAGATAGTGAATTGCCTGCACTTTTAATGCATAGTTTATATAATTGGAAACTTGTTTCAACTTTAGCTACTGGAAAGTATGGGAGGTGGTCACATTTCTGGTGGTGTTTCTGYGTTAATGGTATGTTAAAAATATTAAATGATCATTATTTTTGGGGGGGCAAACTTACAAAACTGGATAAATAACTATGGCAGGATATATTTAAACACTGTCTCACTGTAAGGAATACTGAAAATAGTTTAATTTTTATAATCTAAGTAAATCATAATTTGTAATTTGAAAATCCTAAACTTTTTTCCTCTGTTGTATGCAAACCAGTGTGTAGTCTCAAACACATATTTATAATTCTAGATTACTAAAGAAGATTTCCAGACCTTTGATTATATACTTTGTATGGATGAAAGCAATCTAAGGTAATGTATATAGCAGTGGAAGAACAAAATTATTGACTACTTGTAGTGCTAACTCAGGAATTACTTTGCAAGATAGATGTGATATTTGGGGGCTTTTTATTTGTTTGTTGTGTGCATGTGCTTGTGTGTATGATATCGTAATAGAAGTATTCTTGTAGTATGCTTAATAAGCTGGAAGTGAGAAGTTCTGATGTGATACATGCCGTTTAAGGAATAAAGAAAAGGAATTCTAGTATATGCTGTTATTACTGGCATTCCTCTTGATGTCTATAGTTAGGCATGAATGCATATTTTTATTTTAAGTCCTAAGACGAGATCCAAAAGATACTACRGAAATTTAGGACGGATTAACGCTTTCATTTCACCTAAAACTTAGACTCAGATGAAGCAGTTTCCCTGGGAATTCCTGTCTAGCTCCAGGAACGCAGGTTCATTTTACATGGTGATGGAATGCCTGTCATGTCAGAAAAAGCAGCAGTCTTAATTTTGGTTATCCCTTTTCCTTAGTATTGGAKGCATTTGACATCCCCCTGTTTATTAGGTGCTATGGCAAAAGCTTTGAAGCAAATGTTTGGGCTTCATTGTAGTTATATGACTGCAATTATATAGCATGGGATGATGTTCTACAAACAAACATCCTTCTTGTCCTCTGAAAATATGACAAATATTTACAGGACTGCACCTTTTTTTTTTAAAAAGGATAGAAAACTTCCTTAAAATCTGTAACTTGAAGGAATAATTGCTTAGTTTATAGAGGTATCCTAATTTTTAAGAAAAAACATATTGTACTCTTGCAGTTTTATATTTCTAAACTATATGACTAGCATCAATTTCCTACTGCTTAGTATTTCATTACTGTAAGTTTTTATGGATTTTTCTTTTTTTWAAAACCTCATCCATAAATCAGTGTAAGACTTGGAAATCTAGTGTGTGTTTTTCAAAGGCACTGCTCAGTGCATAATTTGTTAGGCCACAGAGTTAATCCTCACTGCTGTCATTTTGTGGTGTGGTTTAGACAAAAGAATAAAGTTGTACAAGCTTAATAGCAGCTGTTTGAAAGAATACTCCGCAGGAAACATTTTGCAATGTATCATTAGCAATAAATTTTAATTCCTTCAATACTCGGAGAGCAAAGGTGATGATTAGGAATGGAGGTTGTTAATATTAAAAGCATTTAACATGTTCCAGCTGTACAGGATTGTGAAAGTCACAGCACTGAGCTTCTCATTTGATGAGAACCATCTTAAACTGCATTCAGATATCAGACGCTCATTTGTAAGATCGGGAAAATACTGTCTTAAAAATAGTATGTTATATCAGTGGGACATAATTTAGGGGAAAAAAGGGATATGACCATCTAATGCTGATTCAGCAAGTTCAGGGACGTTGACTGGAAAACTACATTTTCCTTTTACAGAGATCTGAAAAGGAAAAGCAACCAAGTTAAAGACTGCAAGGCTACAATTGAGCTTCTTGGCAGTTAYGATCCACAGAAACAGCTTATTATTGAAGATCCATATTATGTATGTATAAGAAATTATTTTTATGGTTTGATTTAAAGTAGCATGTGTATATACCTGATTGTGTGTATGTGTACATATATATATATAYACACACACRCACACACACACACACTTTTTATATGCAATTTTCCCAGATCCCAAAGTTCTCGTGGAATATGTAAAGTGATGATATACTAAGTCAACTGTAGACATATTTTCACTTAGGAATTACTAAGAATGAGAGCAAAATAATATAAATTATTAGAATAGGAAATGGAAAAAAAAGCCTTTATGCTTATATAAATTATTTAAATTTAAAATGCACCTACGTTTTGAGTGTAAAGTTGTGGTCAGTCAGCATCATTTTTCAAGAGGAGGTRATCAAGAAAGAAAGGAGGACACTGAGGTAGGCAACAAAGTGAAATAATGTCATCAGAAAGCAGCCTAGACTAGGATTCTTTAKCTTGGGAGGGAGAAGTGACAGAAGATGCAACAGAGATCTGTTAAATGTTGAATATCCTGGGAAAAGGCGAAGGGGAGTCRCTGCTCGATATGCAAGAAACAGATAGTAACAAATGGCTCAAAACTGAGGTTCAAAACCAAAAAGRGTATTTCTTGTTAAGATGTAAAAGTCAATGCGACAGGATTCTGTGTAAAGAAAAGAGAAAAGGTTTGAGAAAAGAGAAAAGGTCTCAAAGAGTCGAAACATCTATGGAGAAAAGTTATTCAGGGGTTGATCGGCACAGAACCACAGTATTTGGCTTTGGAAACTCCTGTACCACATATTTTTTTTTTTCAAACCAGGAGGAAATATGCAAAAAAACCACCCAAGGATTTGTACTAATTTTATATTCTTTTGTAATGTCAATTATTTGCAGCTATTGGCAACAAGAATCTAGTTTGTACAAAGTTTTGGTCTGCGCCTATTACCATTCTTAACATTTTCTTCCTCTGCTCTTTTCTAGGGGTGTGAGAAGGACTTTGAAACTGTTTACGAGCAGTGTGTTAGATGCTGTAAAGCGTTCTTGGAGAAGCCTCATTAACGCAACATTTTATTTCTGAAAGAAAATAATTAGCTCCTCCTGGAATATGTAAGCTTTACTTGATTGGTGTATTTGAAATGTAATATTATGCCTCCGCAGTAGGGTCAAATTGGTACTTTTTCAGTTTAACTTTGTATTGTAGTTCTTCTGTCATCTAAGTAGAAAAACATAGAAAAGTTTTAAACTTGAATTAGATGGTCAACCATTTTCTCATGCATCCATGTAATAATAAAGTATTTCATTCAGAATAAATCTATCTGTGAACTATTCTAATGCTTTCCCATAAGCACTAGATCTTGATTCTTTCCCATAAGCACTAGATCTTGATTCTTTCCCATAAGCACTAGATCTTGATTCTTTATGTGCAGTAAAAACTAACCTAAATTATTCTTATTGGACCATTAATGGGTTAATTTAAGTGAACTTGCAATGGAAAGGTTAATAGTAATACCTGTATATTACCTTAGTCATAGCCTCCTACCATCACCAGGCAGCTTTTAGACTGAAGCTGTTTCATGTTGTGCTGGGTGAATAAAAGGGCCACGTCTGCTCCCAGACAGGTGTTGCCCTTAACATTATTTCAGAGCTTGAGCAAGCAAAGCCCATGTGTATTGTCAGAGTCTCATTAAAACAGATTACATAAGTTTAAGTGCTCRGTTAGCAAAGAAGAAACCGTTTTTTCTACCAGTTAAGAGGATCTCAGTTCAGAAATGAAGATGAATATCAATAGAACTTACCTAGTTAGTCTTGCTTTGGTCTTGCGGACAGTTCCTAGCACATCAACACAAACATGTGTAAYGTGGCATTTATTTTTAGGACAAAAAGAGTCAATTTAAAAGCATTAATATAAAAGTGTATATTTTGTATTACAGAGTTAGTAAAATAATTTAAATCCACACAATATAATAAAATAAATTTGCTAGAATCCCAGTACAGTGGACAGCATTGTCATGTATTGCTCAGGAGAGAACACGGACTGTCTTCAGTTTATACTTTCTCATATTTTTAACCATCTATAACATAATGTGAATAAAGGCCAGTTAAGTCGGACGTTTTGCTCTCACAATAACTGCGTTGTGAAAACCCAGCATTTGTCTGAACTCTATCCTTCAGTTCTGCCCTAGGTCTCTTGAGAGTAGCAGCATACCTGCTACCGTGGCAGTTTCCCATTTTAAGCAATGGCAATTTTGGTATGAACTGGCATTATGATATTATCTTTAAAACTTGCTTTCCTTACTGCGTTACTACGTCTGTCTACTTTCCAAAGTATACAGAGTAGCCTGTGGATTGTTCCCAGTTCATCTCCTGTGCAAGACAACTACCTTGATAAGGGACACACATTTCTGGGAAAGGAGAAACCTTGGTGTCTGTCCCTGTGAAGAGGTGCTGAAGCCTTCATAGTGGSGGCTAAATCTCTAGGTCTACTGCAGTGGGGAAAAAAAAACAGAAAAATGTTTGTGTTTATGAGATTTCTGTTTTCTGATTCCTAAATTTTCAATTGGGATTTTTCTAAAGATACAGTATTACTTAAATTTTAAGAACCTGCTTAGAAAAAGCAAATGGTAGTTGGAATATCTAAGCACAAAACCAAGAATCCTTTCACATCAGAAAAATCAAAACTGGTAAAACAAAGTTAAGAATTTTTAGGTTAATAGCTGTTTAACTTCAGGGATTAATTTAGGAGTTAAACCAAACCAAAATGAAAGTATTCCTTTCTCACCAAAGGAATATATATATTTCAGGTCAGGTGAAATACTGAATTTGAGGATTTTTTTTGTTTTGAGTGATTTAACCAATCATGAAAATAATGGGCAGTTAGGCACAGACCATCTTAGAAATGTGTTTTTTGCACTACCTCAGAAGCAGAAATACTTAGAGTACTAGGATTTTAAATATTCCAGTGGAAGTAAAATAATTCAGAAGGCTGAGAACATGATGATTTGTTTTTTCACGTTGATAGCTGAGTAGGAATTGAACCTATAATTTTGTATATTTTAAAGCAAAGACTTAAACGCTGTAAATATTTATGTTTTCACTGCTACGGTAACAGAAAGGAGATAGAGGGAATTTTCTATGTTTTCATTTTTTAAACCTTCGTTAGGCTTAGATATCTTACCCCAAGATGGAAATAAGTCAAAACTGTATGTGTTAATTTGGTTCAGATCTCAAGTAACAGACTTGAGCCAAGTTATGTTTTCAGCAAGTGATTTATTGACTAAATAATTCACTGGCTCTGGTACCCAGAAAGTTTTTGTTGTTATTTTGTGGGCTTTTTTTTTTTTTTTTTTTTCTGTTTGGTTGGGTGGTTGGTTTGGGGCATCCTTTTGTTTTCTTCCTTAAAGAGGATTCATGCATTTGTTGGAGCTTCAAACCAGGAGGAGAAGTAGCACTGTGTTTAAAAAGAGATCGCAAAATACAAGAATAAGAACCAGGAAAGCCTTCAGAGGAAGGGCTGCTGCACAGTATCATTATTTAGATTACAAGAGAAACAGTGAACATAGTTCATAAATAATGAAGATGATTAAGATTTTACAGGTTAAAAAAAAAAAAACAAAAAAAAACCCAGAATTTTCTCTCCTTTAGTCTTTTTTATTTTTTATTCTTTTATTTTTTTCAGTTAAGGTAGTGAACTTATATCTAGGACTAAACTAAAAAAGCAAACAATCACAGAATGGTTGAGGTTGGAAGGGACCTCTAGAGATCATCTAGTCCAACCTTCCTGCCCAAGCAGGGACACCCAGAGCACGGGGCACAGGGTGGCATCCAGGCGGGTTTGGAAGACCTCCAGAGAAGGAGATTCCACAACCTCCCTGGGCAGCCTGTTCCAGGGCTCTGTCACCCTCACAGTAAAGAAGTTCCTCCTCACCTGGAGATGGAACTGCCTGTGTGGCAGGAATTACGACATTTACCCAGTCTGAGTGGAAAAAAAAAGAGACTGATCTCCTAAATATTTTTTCTGACAATTTATAAGAGGAACCAAATATATGCTACAACGGAAGAACCCAAACAAGGATATACTAAAAGAACTTACACTTTAAAGAACCCTTATATGGTATAGTTGTATCTTCTAGCAAAACCTGCTGATTTTGCCAGATTGTAAAACGGAAGGAAAAAAAAAAAAAAGAAACATGCAAGGTTATTTATAAAATTATAAATATATAAAACCTTGCAACTTGCATTAACTTATCAAACCATTAAGTGTATTATTTCATTTTACAATTTTTTTTTCTAGAAAATTTTGACTTAACCAGATTTCTGGTGTTCTGTTACAAAAAGAAAAAAATACATGAATTTAAACTCCCATGTTAATCAATGTGCTCTGATCTGATTTCAGTCTGAGCTAGAGAGAAGCTCAGAGTTCCACCCACGCGTTTACTGCGGATGAGCAGCTCAGTCAGTYGGGTGGGAGCATCTTCTCTGAGCTGCATGTTTTTCAGTATACATGTGGTGTTGACCGTGAGAAATGAAACTTTTAGCACTTGGTGATTATTGATCGTTAGGCTTGTACTTCTGCCATTTTTGTCCTTTTTTTCTTTCTTTTTTTTTTTCCTTTTAAGACAAATGGATGCTAAAGGCTATTTGGTGTGACTTTCTTGAGTCTCACCCCTGGCTATTTCTCAGGGTGGTATTTTGTTTCTGTATCTTGTGGATGGAATGGAGATGGAATGGAGGCTAAATGGCAGTTTTTAAGCAAAGATCCAGGTGCATCTGCAGGGCCTGCATCTTCCCCTTCTGAGGCAGCCCAGGGCTCTGGGCACTTTCTGAGCCTGGACCGCACCGATCTGCCCATACTCTCAAATCCACAGAGGGTGTCCAGGCTACAAGACCGAGGGGCATGTACTTTTTTTTTTTCTCCTTTAATCCAAGCAAGCACATTCATTGACAAAAAGGTTAAGTGTGGCTAAATTATGTTAAGTACCTGAAAATAAGCTTCCTTTTTTTTTTTTTTTTTTTTCCCCCTCCCCCAAGTCTGGAAACTAAGGAGTGAAAAGAAAACACAATGAAGATAACTTAATACCAAACACTTTATTACTTATGTTTATTTACAGTATTTACATATTGCACGTTAGCTGGAATGTTTTATACATTTGTTATATAAAGTAGATTAATGGCAGCTTCAGTGTGTGTAGAAAATCCATGCTCCACTGTCCCAAAAATATGTTTACTGGGAATTTTGTTTGTTTGTCATGCAATTTGTACTCCTAGGGTACAATGTGACCCCAATGCAAGTCTGTTTTAACCAAACTTTTAAAAAATTGCATAAGCATGAAGGATATCAAGTGACCACAACTACTGTGGAGCAGATCTTTAGTAGTTCTAGATATACAAAGAAACATTCCTTAAAACCTCAGAATTAAGCAACAGAACATCAATTTTCTTGGTGAAGTGTTTGTGTTTATGTAATTTTTGGCAGAATTATACATCAGTTGTACAGTGTGTTTTTTAAGTAYGGAGCATTAAGTACTACTGGCAGTTATACTACTGTAAAGAATGTCATTCTGCAAACTGTTGACAGCATACAAAACGCATGTTCAAAGAATTATGGGAAGTAGTCTGTCAATCTGCAAAAATAAATCTCTTGTTCACAATGGAATATGTTATAAAGGTAATAAGTTCTATTTCCCTGTTGGTTTCCAAGGCACTTCTCTTGGTTCTTGGTGTTTCTTTTCATGGTAATAACATCTGGTGGATTAAAAGRAAGAAGAAAATTGCCTTTCATCATTTTCATATTCACATACAAGTATTTAAAATTCATATATTATACAGGAAGTAAATAAAAATGGACAATTTAGGAATAATTTTGTAAAGCTTTAAAAGCACATTCCTGATTTAGTTCAGTTCGTATCAGCCTTATGACTAAAATAGTTTTAGGTTAAAGTTTTGGAAATCCTTCCTTGTGGTGTTTCATTTTAGGTAGAGTAGATCTAGAAAACGTGGAGTTTTACCAATTAAACGTGTTCTTAGATCATCTTAGTTTGTTCCTATGACTGGAGCAGTGAAATCAAAGCATGAATAAACATCAAGGATAGTACTAACAGATTGCAAATGTCTGTCTTAATGGCTTGATATCAAGAAGAAGCTGATACAATATCCAGTAATGTAAATTGTCAAGGTCAGATTGGAAGGATCTAGGATGGATTCARTGTTTTGTTGGTCCCACGGGTGAAGCAACTTGGACTTACACTATAAGCAAATGAGAGCAACTTTCTGAGATTAAATAATAGAAATCTTACTCGTAGAATTTGCAAATAGCGAGGCAAAACAAGMTGAGTAGGATCTGCAATGGTTGAATTTGTTGCCAGTTCTATTAACTCTACCCAAAACAGTTTCTTGGGATCAAAACAGAACCATTCCTATGACTGTTATCAGTGAAATAAAATTAGAGGCTTCCAGGTCACTTAAATACTTTATTCAAAAGGTTAATTCAAAAGCGGCTGAATAGTGAAGTTACCCCACTGTTTTTCTCCCAACACTTTTTATAAACCTCTTGGGAAAAAAACCATAATAAGCTATATATGTATTTAAAGACTGTCCTCTATTCTGTCATTCCTGAGCTTGTTGATCATGTTTTTCACCACTGCATTTTTCAGATAGATGATTATCAACTGCTGCAAGTCTTATAAGCAAATAAGTTTGGGTAAAGATGACAGTTTGTTAATGTCCTAACAGAAAGAAAAAAAAATGCACCATGAACTTGATTTCATTAGAGAGCAGTAACTGCACATATGAGACAGTGTGCTTAGAAACGAGTAGATTTAACAGGGTCTTGTTTTATCATGGTAGCTTTTGGTATCACACTTGAATATCATGAATGCTAGAAGTTCACGTGGGAGATGCAAAGCAGTCGATCCATTTTCCAAGCTTAGAACTTTTATATTTTATTTTTGAACACACGTATTTGTCTCTCTTGTTATCTGTTACTTGGAATTTCTCTGAATTTATTTCTGCTTTAGCATAATCTGTAACTGAATTTGAATCCAAAGTCATCCATAGTAGATGTATTCCATTGTAATCAAGCTATTGGTCCATACAGAACTATTTCTAGTAGTATCCTATTTAAACGTGTATTTAATTCAGTGATTTTTATAAAAGCATTATTTAAATGTTGTAAGATAACAGAATGCTATTACAGAAAAGTGTAATGTAGCTTAGTTCTGGTTTTGCAGGTAGGACAAATGCATTTTTTACTTCTTTTCCTAGAGGAGAAACTGATGCAAGTTCTTTCTGTCTTGCTTTTTCATCTAGCTTATTTTCTGTGTGTATATCCATACTCTACTGTGTTTAAGCCAAAAAGTGATGTTTACAAAAAAATTAATATCCTTTTAATCTGATCATAGTGTGGTACAGCTGAGAAGTTGCACACTGAGAATTTAATAAACGCTTTTGTAGGGACATCTCATCTGAGCTGTGGATCTTAGGTGGTTCTCAGTGATCAGGCAAATTGTAGATTCCTAAATACTCTGTTTTTCAGAAAACCATGGAAAGGCCTGATATTGGTAGCATTAAACCATCAGTTGCTGCAGTATTCTTTATTTTGCATAGTCTATGCTACATAAATGAAATGTAGGAAAAATAGACTGCARCTTAGCTGAAGGATGACAAATGCATCCAGGGTCTCCAGTAAGAACATTGTATGACTGCAGCCTCTGTTGGGAATATTGACAGGCACGCAAGCCCTTTCTCCTCTTTCTTTCTGTTTCTTACATTTTCTTTTCCAATGGGGGAAAAAACAAAACAAAACTCTACAATTCTACAACTCTACAATTGTTCTGTTTTTATTTTAAAACTCACAAATGAATGATATTGTAAAAGTATAATACAGTTTTCCAGATTTGGTTCTAGTTGTTGTCTGTGAGTGATGATAAGCTTTAGGAAAGAGCTTTTCTCTATGAGAGAGGAGTTTAATGTTTTAAATGTCATTATAACCTTTAAAAATACCCTGCAAGTAGATTTAACCTTTAAAATACTGTAGAAAAAAAATCCACGTGTTAACATTGAAAATTCCTTTTCTTTCTTCAGCGGTGAATGCTGTAAAATAAGCATTGAATCACAGAGATCCACAGATTGGGATGCTAAAACTGTTAATATTTTATCTGGTGCACTCCGCTAGAGAACCCTAGTAAGTAAAACTGTGGTACTCAGAAGTGCCTATTAACAAAGCTGGGTTATGCTACACAATGAACTCAGAACATACTCTGCCTATAGCCACTTGAGAGCAATGGTTTATAAAAAGTCTAAATCCTTAGGAACTACCTCTTGTCACTGAGCAGAGGTGACTGACTATATCCTGAGTTGTGTGGGAATGTATTAGGTTATACTTTCTAGGAACAAATGTCAGTTTTTACCAGCTAATACACAAATCCCACATCTTAACTCAACCTTTGCTTGTTTTCTGAAATAGAAGTGTCTGACATTGCCCCAGTTCATTCTGCATTACTTTGAGTAAGAAACTATGTGTGTGTGAGAAAGAGAGGAGAAAACAATTAAGGGATGTAGCTCCATTATGAAAAAAATGTGTAGCAAAACTTAAGCAAGAGCCCAGATACTATTTTTGTTTAGGATAGTTTGAAATAATTAATACAGAATATGGTGTACAAGAACAGCATGTCTGCTGTGGTATTTCAGCTGTATTGTTATGCAGCTAGTTTCCAAGTTTATGCTTTCAGCCTTTTAAATGTGTATTATTAATATGGTTGAATGTATATTATTAATATGGCTTATATGTTTTTTTTTTTTACATCTTAAAAGTTATTTAGAACTTCCACACACTTTTCAGGATTGCAAAGGAAATGCCAGTTATCAGTGTATTTTAGCTTTTCGTTAGAAATTCTCTAAAAAATCTCTGACCCCTATACGTATTGATATTTATTCTTGCCCTATCATGCATTCTAAGCAAGAACTATCAGTTCTGTTGCTCTTTTTCTTTAAATATTGCTAATTATATTTGCTTTGCTAGGAAGCAAAGAAAGTGATAGGATTTTTGCATACTTTTCTTATATAAAAGCTCCTTTTCTCATGATAGCTCAAGACTGTTTGCACAAATTTTGCATTTATTGGTTTAGATTTGACTGTTATCACTTTTCTTATTTGTTCATTTGAAATAACTGTAGAAACTTGTAAAAATGTTAACAACAGGTATGAAATTCATAGGGTAAATACCTTGTCAGCAAAGTAACTACAACAGATCTTTGAGATATATAAATTAAATAAACCTGTAGTTTATCTACAAGCTTTCGCACATGATGTTAATGATACTATTTGAACTATTCTTTTTGCTACAAGGAAGATTAAGAATAATTTGTGAAATCGCTGTTGGTCCTTAATAGACACTTAAGTCATGCAGAAGGGAGAATACCAACAGYAGCATCTCCAGTTTTCCAACAGAAATGGTAAGATTTGGATCTGCCAAAACCCAAAGTAATGGTGGCAGATGCCCTTGCATTCTTTGGGTGGGGCAAAATGTGAAGAAAAATGCTCCATATAGGAACCAGATAGAGCCCAGTCAGGTAGGTGCACAATAAATTAGAAAATGAATGTCTCAGACATATTTTAAAATGAGTGACCTCTCTCTGAAGAAGCTYAATTTTTGATCCCATAAGTAGCTTTAACTTTGTGTTGCACATATTCCTGACTGAATTATCTTGTGTATCTGCCACCTAGGTGCTTCTTATGAAATGTTATTTCCATGAGCAGTGGGGTATCAATCTTGGGCTTGCAGAGAGAACTKGACTTGATAGGAGGATCAAGTGAGTGCATCTTAACTAATAAAATTTTAGCTACTATCTCTTAAGTTTAATGAGAAATATTAAAAAAAAGAATAGATCTGGCCTTGTGAGCTAGGAAGAGAAAGGAATATATTCTCTTTTAGGGTGTGAAACCTTTTCATAGTCATAAATTAAGTACTGTTTTTGTAGATTTGAATTTGAAAAAATATGAATTTAAGAACTGTAATCATCTTGCTAAACTGTCCTGGTTTAGCAGTGAATGCTTATTTTTGTTTAAGAAGATAACGTGCATGCACATAAACAGATCACTTACGTACCATGACAGATTGAAGAGTTAGTCTGCACTTTAGAAACTAGTAGCCTTATGGCAGAGACTATGGCAGATAGTTTTCTAATGCAAGAATAATTTAAGAAAGTTGCACTGCTTTGAAATGTTGTCTGCCTGTGTTTAAATGCTACAGTGTTCAAAATGTTGCAATTTTTTGACAAGAGTTAGAAAGTCTGGATTAGTAGTAATTATCTGCTCTGTAGAGGGACGAAAAGGAAAAAGAATTTCCCTATAGCTCAGTCCATGAAATGATGAAAACAACTAAAGGCTGCATTATACTTTTCTGTAAGAGATGCTTTAGCTACACAAAAAGAACTGATGAGGTGGAAAAGCTATGAGAAGGAAAGRCTCTTAAGTTTTATGGGGACTGCCATGGATTTCAAGGCCTCTGTGGTGGATAATAGGCTTTCTTTCTATTAATACAGGCCAGTCAGGGGTACCACTACTGGTAGTGACTTATTTGTCTGTGGCAGATAACAGAAGTGGAATGTTACTCCCATTCAAACACGGCCTTTAGTCAAGCAAAGTTAAAGTAGGGATGGATTATATATATGTATATTATACATGTATCTGTATATTTTATTAGTAGACTCACAGGTTGAGATTAGAACTACTATTTACTGTTCTTTCATGTTGTATATTTGTGTTTTCATGATAGGATGCATGAAATTTCTAAGGGAAGGAAGGAAAGAATTCCCTACTCTGATATCTGCTTATTCCTTTCATTTTGTTTTTTATATAAGTTGGCTTTTCTAGATCTTTGATTATGCATGTTGCTCTTGTGTAGACCAATAAGCACCCATCTATCTTCAAGTGCAGTGCCATTACTGAACAGAGTATTCCAGTGGAGGCATTGCCAGCACCAGTGGAGGGATTGCTCCAGGTATTTATGCTTCTGTTGACATGTTCCAGTATGTTATCTGTCTTTTCATCAAGTGTGATGTAGCAGACTTATGCTTAATTTGAGATCCACTTGAACCATACATTTTTACAGAACTTTTACCTATCCAGCCAATCACAACTTGCCTAATACTGCTGCAGTTAATTATTCCCATGCCTCCAGAATTCTGTCCTTTCCTTTAAACTGCATCCTATTTTTAGACTAGACAACTAATTTTCCAAGATTATTTTCAATTCCAGTATTCTTTTCAAATATAGTACTCTCATGGGTGGTTCTCCTACAGCACTGTCATCCATACATCCATACAAAGGGTATAATTTGGCCAGTTACCCAAGATATTGATGATAATATTGAACCCACAGACCCACAATGTATCTCTGTGTGACTCTGTTCCAAACATTCTCCCAGTTTGGCTGGGAAACACTAATAACTACATTCTTTTCCCCAGACATTTTTACATGTATTGTGAACACATTTCCCTAGCATGCTTGTTAAAATGCTATGACATGTGCTCACATGCTATTGTGAGCACTTTAAAAAGTAAACTAAGATGTATAGTATTTATGGCTTTTCCTCGCTGAATCTCTCCACAAGATGCATTTTCTTTTGTCATAAAGCTAAAACATATAGGTTTAGCAGCATGGCTTATTATTTAGCACTTTGTCAGAGGTCACATTTTTGTCTGAGGAAAAGGTTGAGAGGAAAGGGTCTAAATTAGTCCTTTTGGGTTTCTATGGGTCAGTTCTGTAGAAGCACAGATAGTTTGAAAGTACTTTTTTTGTTGTTTTGGTGCCAAAGCAATTACCTAATTACCAAAGCAGTGCTAGAAATTAAAGAGGTGCACCTAAGTTAAAAGTGAAGGATATAACTAATTGATATAAAAGCTGAACATAGTAGAAATTCCAAGAAATCTGAGTAGCATAAAGTTAGCTTATCAATATTAGTAATATATTTTAATTGAATTATTATAAAAGCACCTGCAACTTATCTGTATTTATAAAGCTTTGATATGTATAGCTATGTGTAATTAATTCATATTAAAATGTACACCATAAATCTACAGCTGCACACATAAAAGGTCTTCCATTGCCAGTGTACAYGATTGTATACTGAGTCAACTCAATCAGCTACAGCTGTTGTGCTTTGTTCTATGCAGCAMATTCACTCTCTGCTAACTACGTACTGCTTGGAATAAGTCACAGCTGATGTGCATGTATTTTTATATAACTGCCTCCAGTAGGGGGTATCCTTTATTTATGGCCAATATTTTGTCAGATTTTAAGACAGCTGGTGCAAAGTACTGCAATACCTCAGCCAAAGCACACTTGTTACACTCCCATGAATTGTCACATTTTAAGTACAAAATCCACAGTTTTACTTTGCCATAGACTGTTACTTTGGCTATCAAAAAGCTTACCTTATCCTTCCATGCACATTGGGCTTACTGCCAACCGAGTAAGAAGCCTGGCACATCTTTTATAGTCTGTGATGGGGAAAAAAAAAAACAAAACCACAATATAAACATGTTTAAAGTGACCAGATTTGCTTTTGAAAAATCATCATTGTTAAAGTTGTGCAAATTATTGTTATAATAAATTGACATCTTGGTTTGCCATCTTTGACATCTTTGGTAATATATATAAATATGTATAATAAATCTGTTTCTCAGAGCTAGAAATTTAGTGTGCAACAGTTATAACTGAGCCTTGTCTAACTGGTGCATACAACTATATGYATACCATAATACATATAATTAACATGAATGTATGGAGACATCATCCAAGTACATGTATGTATGAAAATTTATGTATGCTGGTATTCAAGTATTGGAGCTAAACRTGGAACTACAGTATTGCTACATTAGAGGAAGAAAATGTACTGCTAAATCATCTATAGTCCTCAGCGAATAGGTCTAACAACATAATTAAAATATAATACAGCTTTCCAATATATATTCTTCCTGGAGGAACTGGTATATTAGATGAATAAGGTATCTGTTGATAGAARCGTAATGTAAATTCCCTTTACTCATGTGGAATGACTTCACTTACTCTTTGATGAGCCTTCTAGAATCACAGGAACATTAAACTCATCCTCTAGCTACAATACAGAGCCACATCATATAAATCTGTTCCTAACTATCAAGTTTAATCTTAAAAAACTAGTTGGGTTGCTTTTTTTCCACAGTTAGTCATACCTATTGGTAGGAGTTCTTGTGTTAGAATGCATGCTTTTTGATGCATTCCTAATAAGCAGCTATGTAGCAATGTAGTTTTACTACAGTAGCAAAACTGTAGTTTGCAGTTCTGTTTGAAATTAATCAAGAGACGCATGGATTTTTTTCTTTTACATGGCAAACTGAGAGGAATTTAGGTGAAAGCTGGCTATGGACAGARGGCAAACCAAGTCAGTGTCCACACATCAGTGCTACTATGCTACACAAAGTAGGCCCATGGAATATGTTCGTACTAGTTACCACCTTGTTGCAGCATCACGGGTGTTTTTGTTGTTGATTTGCCCTTCAATGACTACCTACAGAATTGGTATTGACCTAAAATCAGTAATGTGATATTACATGCAAAGAATTACAAGAAATCTGCTTTAAGAAGATGCTAACAAGTCCAGCCAGGTGACTGAAAATCAGTATCAACAATCCCAAAAATCAAAACTGAGATATGTTTTAATTGCCATTTACCCAGAAATCCATTGTGTAAGTAAGAAATCATTATGTAAGGGGGTATTTCACCTGTTACGAGGAAAAAGTTAATTCCAGCTTTCAGGCCACCTATTCTTCAGCTTCACAGCTGAAGGTACTAGATATTGCTGAGCCAAATGATGTTTGCGATRTGACCTTTATGAAAAAGGTAATCTGATCATGTGTTTGTCTAAAACAGACTACTTGTTAACAACTCCCTCATTACAATAAATGTAAGCTGAACATGGCCTGGTTAGCCATTACCTGTAATTCTTCATCAATTTTAAGCAGCCTGATATCTTTCTAAAATGGTCATAATCTGAATCTTTRTAATTGGGAAGAAAATCTTCATTTTTAATAAATATGCCTTTAAAATATATTGGGCTGAAATATTAATACTTGGAACTTGGAATCTGAAACTTGATTCTATTCCTAGCTCTGACCCAACTGCTTGACCTTAGACAAGTAAAATAAAGTGCTCTTCCATTCTAAAAAGTCTGTACTAAAATAGCACCTTCTTATTCAACAGATCCACCTCTCTGTTAATCTGTAGTCATATCTACTGACTGATAAATGTCAATTCCTGATTTCTTTTTAATTGTCTGTGCTGCTGAGATATTGCAATTTGTTYATCATTTGGATTACTAAGCCCTGATAAGTTCTACTTATGCACTTATGTATTTCACTGAAGACACRTTGCAAGATTTACAGGGATGATCACCAACAAGCTGACTTGACAATGTCTATAAGATATGCTCTCCATAAGATAATTCATAAAAGGAAGGTAGTGCTATCTGGCTTTCTCATCCTGTTTTGTGTCTGCCTAAATACGAAGGGTTTGGGAAAGGAGTTGTAYGTTTCCAGGCAAATTAAATACCCATGATGGGGAACAAAACAGATCTATGCATAGGTGTCCAGGAAGCAGTGTTTACTGTCATTCTCCACAGAGTATTTGTACTGAAGTTGTAACCAGCAATACAATCYCAGCAAGCATGCTGTAAAGGTCATTTAGCACCTTTCAGAGCACTTCCCTGCAAGAAACATAGCCTAGCAAAGTATCMCAAATCTGGTATTTCATAGGGCTACTATGTTTAGGAGTTTTCTGAGGTTTTATGAAAGWTAACCTTAGCTTTTGGCACTTACATGCTGGGATGGTGCAGTCCCTTGTGTTGTGATAAAGTCGATGAAAGTGTTTACTGCATTTAGGGCTGAAGTAGAGAGGACCTGAAACATAAGAAAAGTAATTTATTAATTGGCACAGCTCAAGGACCTATTTGAAGAATCTACAGTGCAGCCTACAGTTTGTAGATGAAATAATGGATACAAATGCAAAATTAAAACATACCTGTTAAATGCTTTAAAAACTTGTCTTTCATCCTCAAATCCCTTGGAACTATTTCTGTTGGACAGAAAAAATATATATTCACTGTGCTATAGCGGAACTATGTTTGCCAAGTATAGCAATAAAAGAAAAGGAATAAACTCTGATAAATAAATACACAAACAAAACCACTGCTACATCTTGACAGACACACAGAGATGAAAACTTGTTTGTGTACAATGGGCCAAAATGTAAGCTTTGGTTTTATATATGGATCCACAATGAAAGATGCACAGAGCACTGTGGTGATGAAACATACAGCTGTTAAGTGTGCAGTCATTAATGCTGTTGACAACAAAGATTCAGTCGGTGGTTTGCATTATCACCTATCCTAAATTTAAATTCTCTAAGAAAATTTAGTTCACAGTTGCCCAGAAATGACATTTTCCCTTAACAGTAAACATCAATAAATATACATAAGTTTGGTTTCCCAATCCCAATCTCTTCTGATTCTCTTATGCAAATGTACCCACTATTTTGTCAGAAGTGTTTTGTATAAGTACTATCTGGCTATAATCATGAAACGGGATTGATCTGCTTACAGGAATCTTTCTTTTTCTTCTAGCAGTAAATAAAATTCACAGGAAATGATCCCAAGCAAATTGCTCTCTTCTGGCTCCCTGTGTTTGTGGTTTACCGCCTCGCGTTTTGTGTTCAGCAGATGGCAAAATGAAACTGGTTTACTGAAATCCATTTCAGCCCTAACCTTTGCTTGTGTCTTCCTGATTTACAGCTATCTTTGATTGCTCTCCATTACAAACTGTATGCTGATAGCTTGGTGATGCTTGTGTATGATACACTACATGGTGCTGTATTTATTTGACCATAAATGCGTGAGCAGCCTTTTTCATTCCCCTGGCACCTCTTATCAGATATAAAGCAGAGAACATTTCCATCCACATCTGATTGACTTGTGAGGTTAGACACTTCTCGGAAGTCATTCTTCATTTATTTCTAACTTTAGTGAGTGTAGGTAAAATTGACCTTATCATATTTGACCGAATTATGTCACAAAGAGCACTAAAGACCTAATACTTCACTCAGGCATTTCCCAGGCTCACTGGGAAAGTGATACCTAAACTGCAATGAAGGTCTCTAAGCAGTAGAGTCCTCTGGAAATGAACTTGTTCAGTATGACTRGTAATAATTCTATTATAACAACAGAATAACCAATGGCAGTAGTACCAACTGATCTGTTCTCCAGTGCTTTCATATGCACATACACAATGTATCGCCAAGAGCCAGGTGTTTCACACTAGCACACAGATGTGGGATAGCCAACTCGGCCCAACTTCCAAGAACTGTGTAAGTTCCAGTCAACTAATAGTCTGTTTTCTTAAGCATTCAACATTTATCAAATGAAACGTGCAGTGTGTGTTTTAAGTAGAACAAAACTRTCTTCCTATGTTCATTCATCATCCAGGTGGGGATAACATTTACAGTAGCATTTTAGTGACAATCACCAACTACAGCTGATCATTGTGGCTGCTAATATAAGTGAGAATGAGGAAAAGTTAAAAGCTTTATGAAATCAATAAATAGACACWTAAATAGCAGAACAAAAGCCAGTTTAAAAAAGAAAAATGAACAGACCTCTGCTGGAAGATATTCAGAAAGTCATTTCCAGTAGGAGGTGTAAGCTGAGCAGCAGTAATGCTGACAGGGTTTGGGAGTGACACTGAACAATAAATTAGACATGGCAGCAGGAGAAGCCAAATCAGCTTTCAGATGGATGCACAGAAGTACATCATGAAACTGAGCTTTACCTAGCTTTCATCATGGGGTTACTGTGACTTTCTGGGCTGCTTATACAATTTTGAATGTCCTCTTACAAATAAATAAGTAAATAATTAAATAAGGACTTTCACTGGAGGTTAGAGAAAAGCAATGCATATGAGTGGAATGATGACTGAAGGAATGGTTCAAAATGTTCAGGGCTTGGGGGGTGGCAGTAGAGTGCTCTGTGCCAGTCCTCTAGTATTTCAAGGATGCTAGCACCAGAGTAAGAAAGGGACTCGTAAGGAGGAGTGAAAAGTTTAATAAGGTGGAACTGTAGGAAATTCTTTTAAATATAAACACTGTAAGGGCAYAGCCTAGTCCTGCAGAGGATTATTGATAGGGTAATTGAAGCCCAGGAAGGACTTAAAAAAAAAACGTAGGCTTCCGGGGGAAGAAGCTGCAATTCTGAAGTTGCAGTCCATATGAGTTGCTGGTAACAGGGGGAATGGCTGGTATTCTAACTGATGAATTCTTGATATAAAACTATCATGCACATCAATGCTTTCTGGTTCCCCCAGGCAGTGGAGAAAGAAAAAGAAATCCCCAAAGTCATGGATTGCCACTTACCAACTCTCTGCTCATCCTGGTATCCCTCATAGTCCGCCACTTCCCTTCTGTCTAAGGTGTAGTCATGTTTGGAGAAGTACTGCACCCCACTGTCTTTCTCCAAGTGGTACCTTTTCAGTTCCTGAATGATCTCCATGATCAGATTTAAGAGACTTTGCCTGCCCTTCAAATCTGTGGAGTCGGTTTTCTCTTTGCAATATGCTGCCGAGAGCATGAGGAGTACCAGCCCTAGCAAGCCGGGAGAGCGCAGTCCACTCATTGCAGCTGCCCCGACGGGTGACGGTGGCGATGACAAGGAAAGATCCGCGGCTGTACGAGGCCTCCTCTTTCCCTGAAAGAAGAAAACCGGCAGTGTTGGAGCTGGGGAGGCCCAGAAACGCTACAGGACAAAAGCACCGGGTCCGCTTTTCAAGTTACATAAGGCGGGGGGGGGGTGCGCGGGCGGCGACAACTTTGCGCCCAGCTGGGGCCGCGCGCAGCGCCCAGTTGCGCCCGGGGCCCGCCCCGGCCCCTGGGCTCGGCTCAGGGCGCCGCTCGCCGTCCCGGCGCTCGCTGGAGCCGCTACCTCGCGTGCCTTTTCCTCGCAAGCCGCGGGCAGAGCGCGGGCAGCCGCTGCGCGGGGCAGCCCCGCGCACGTGCGCGCCCCGCGCTGCCCGGCGGGGCTGCCCGCGCGTCCCGATTCGGCCCGGCTCGGCCCGGTTCGGTTCGGTACCTGCCTCTCCGCGCCGCGCTCCGGCGCGTCCGTCGCGGCTCCTCTTGCCGAGTGGCGGCGAGTCCGAGTCGCGCGGCTGGGCCGCCCCCCTCCCGCCGCCGTGTCCGCAACTACTCCATCTCCCGCCGCCGCTTATATAGGCTATAGGGAGGACATGAGACGGCAGATAGTATCGACTTGGAAGTGGGTGGAAAACAATAAAAGTCCACTTGGCAACCCCGGCGGCGTCGCCGCTGCACGAGCCCTCCCTTCCCGCCCGCCCCGCTCCGCTCCCCCCGGCCCTCCCCTTGGCGTTGCCGGCCGCCCCGTCACTCCTTCTGCTCCCTCCGACGTAACGAGACGGTCCCCAGCGTGTGCGCGGCGGGAGGGGGCGGCGGGGAAGCGCCTCGCCCCAGCCTTTAATTAGAAACGCGCGGAGAAGGCGCTGAAATATTGATGCCCCCCGGCGCGGCGGGGCGCGCTGCCAGGCGGGTCCCCGGCCCGCGGCCGTGCCTCGCCGGGGGGAGCGGAGCGGGGCGGGCGGGGGGCCGCGTGTTTACCGGGAAGCACGCGGGGCTCGGCCGCGGCGTTGGGGCGGGCGGCTCCCTCCCTAGCGGGAAGGCCGCGGCCGCGGGGGGTTGCGGCCCCGGGGAGCGGCGGGCGCGTCGCCTTCTCGCTCGCTCCTGGCACGGGCGGCCCCGCGTGCGCTGGCGGCTGCCTGAAAGGGTCCCCGGCAGGGCCGCCCGAGGAGGAGGAGGAGGAGGAGGAGGAGGGCGATGCGGGGCTCCCTGAACGGAGCGGAACCCGCTGCCGACGGGATCCTGCCAGTCGTCAGCTCTGACGGAAAACGGTGGCGGCCCGAAGCAAGGGGGATCCCACGGGGGAGAGAGAAGGAGGGGAGGAGAGAGCCTCCTGGAAGCGCGCAGCGSTTCCCTGCGGAGCGGGAGCGGCAACGGGAGCCATCCCGCAGCATTCCGGCCCGCACGGCCACAGGTTTTCCGCCCAAACACGGTTCCCGTGCGCTGCCCCGCGAAGCTCCTTTGCGGAGCTGGGGTGAAACACAGCGAAACATGATCCCGCCGAGCTGCTGTTTGCTCGCGCTGTGTGCACAGACCCCTCCCTTGGCAGCCAGCAGGACAAATACAAAGTTGGAGCGGGCGCTGGGCGCCCTCTCCAAACGCCAGCGGAGGACGGGGCCGCAGCATGAGGCGCACGGGACGCGGTCCCGCCGGGCCGGAGGGCACGAAGCGCCCGCTGGCCGCGCAGCGCCGCGGCCGCCGTGGGAGCGCGGCTCGTGCTGCCCCGCGCGGGCGGCGCTCAGGTGGAGCGCGGCGCCTCCCGCCACGCAGCGGCAACASTGACCCGCAGCGGCGGCTGCCGAAACTGAGGCCCGGCCGAGCGGAGCGGCGAGGGGCGCTGCGAGCAACACCCGTCGGGAGCGCCGCGGGGCGGGCGGCCGTTAACGGCTGCGGCGGGGGGCGCCGCTGGGCGGACGGCCGTTAACGGCTGCGGCGGGGGGCGCCGCTGGGCGCGCGCGCCTCGAGGCAGCTCCGTGAGGCGCCTGACGGCGGCCGCGGGCAGCTGCGGTGACCGGGGAGGTTGTCGGGGTTTACAGGTGCTCCCAAGCAAACGGTGGGAAGGAAAGAAAAATAAATTAAATAAATGATTTCGTAATGTTCTCCGTTTGCTGTTCATACGTGCCATTCCGTTCTCTGTAAATACTGTTTTATTATTTTAAAATATATAGATAGGATACACAATACAATATGGTTAAGAAAGACATCCAGAGGCAAGATTGAGCAAGAACAGTTTTGAAAGGAGTCCAGAAARCTCCTTTCTCCTTGGCTTTGTGATTTGGTTCCAATCTTGAGACTTGCGGGAAAAAAAAAGAGGAAAAAAAAATAAAAAGAAAAGAAAAGAAAAACTTGAAACAATAGTCCTTCAGTAAGAAGGATGGCACTTTGCATGACATAACCGTGGCATGGCTATAGCGGCTATAGCTGCAAGTCTATACCAAACAGTGACACTATAGCTACCAGGTAGGGCCACATGATGGAGACAGCAAAGAGGGAAAACTAGGCAGTTATTATATGGCTTGACAATRTGCTATGCACTTCTCTCTAATTTACTTCTCACTGTTTACATCAAGTAGTAATTGCAAGTAGTATTATAAGTAATAATTCCTCCAAATTAATCTCTTTGGAAACAGGCAGCTATAACTGCAGTGAAGGGAGGTGCTGGGGGTGTCAGCTTGCAAGGATAAGTCCGTGCGACTTTGAGTTGCCATACTCTTAAGTAAGGAACAGCTCTGCACTGCACAGCTTGTGAAACGTTCAGCCATGAATGCCAGACTGTCCTCTCCTGGATGTACCCAGGGAAATTAACATAGGGGCATGGAAGGTCCTGAGAGGACCTGTTTTATGAAGCAGTTATCTTCTTCCAAAGGCTACAGATTTATAAAAATTATCAATCCCTTTTACGAGCTAACTGCAGCATGAGTTAGGAGAAGTGGAAGATGGCATGGGCCAAAAGCATGTCAAGGACAAATAGCGATGCAGGCAGCTTCAATTTGATGCCCAGAAATATTCCTGTATAATGTACTAATATAGATGTAGATTTCAACTACTGTGTTTCAACTGCTGTATGAACTGATCTATAAAGTACACCCTTGCCTTTTTTATGCACACAGAAACTGAGGTAATAGTCTGTCCTGATTTGTTCATGCTGAATTATACAAAGATATGTAGTAGCTCCTATGACATCRGTGGAGTTAACGGAAATGTATGCTGATAGATTTGGGATGATCATTTAATGTTCCACCAGATTACATTTTATCTTCATGTATTTTCTTAGGGSTAGATCTAAGCTAACTACTTACTAAATGCTTACCATTAAAATACTATCAAATTCCTGCTCCACATATATACAGACAAAAGTGTGATCCTGCAGAGCCAAGCCCTCCCTCCCTCTGACTCCCAAGGCTCCTGAAGTGAGTAGGTGCACTCTTTTGCCGTTAAAGCTCACAGGTGCTTGGAGCTCTTGCCCAATATCAGGAAGCATCTGACCCTTGACAAGACTAAGCAGCCTGGATGCTGGAGAAAGCCTGCATCCAGGGTTTCCAAGCTGTGAGTTTGAATGCTTTCAGGCAGAAATGACAGATGAATACACCATCTCATGACCCCTGGTCTCAAACACAACGTGGATGAGGAGGTCACAGAGATAACACAACATAATGAGCGTTTGGTCTTGTCCTGCAGGGATGGATGTAATTTCAAAGCTCCTAGTGTGAGTGTTTTGGGAACATCAAGTTAGTGGTCTCCTTTGCAGTCAGATCTTATGAATAAATTGATCTACAATGTTAATAAATGTATCTTATCTTTAGAATAAAGACCTTAATCATCTGAAAAGGACCTTGTGAAGGAAGCATAATAACAAAAAAAAAAAATCACATATTGTGTTGGTGGACAGACTTCATTCCCTGGATGGGTTATGGAACTGAGGCACCACATCTGAATTTTAGAACAAAAGCCAAAGCAATATTTGTAGCTCTGTTAACTAACACATGGCAGTCACTATTTTCTGGGTAGCAATTTTGCTAAATTTCACCAATTTCATTTCCTAATGCCATATCGGAGTGGTAAAGAAAGGATAGTTTCACTTTTTTATATATACGTGGCGTACGTGAAAACAAGAAAATGCGTTCTCCTTGATTCTGTGTTCTTAGACTGGTGAAATTTTCATGCTAAGAGCCTTACAGTTTCATGCTCTTGTTTCAGCTGATTATAACGGACATACGGGTTCCTATCTATATTTAATAAAAGCAAGCACAACATTTTATGAAGTGATTGCACAGCAGAGCTTATTGTCTAAATCAAGCTCATAACCAATATGGGAACCAAGTGTATGCTTACGAGAAAAATCCAATGGACATTCATATGACCAGACAATAAAAGTGTTTTKTATTGCTCTCTATTGACCTCAGAACCCCCCAAAAATGTTTTGAAATCCATTTGTTTTCCATAAACATTACAACTGCTTACAGAATTTCCAAAAAGTTTCACTGTTAGTTTAAAAATAGACTTTTCAGTCCTTACAGAAGAAAAGTAATATTTAGTCTTCTTCAAGTTATATGTCAATCATGCTAAAAATAAATATGATGAGATGGAGCTGGTAATTCTGTTGGGTTTGTTGAGCTAGTATCAGTTGGCTGACATGTCAACTGGATTTCCTAAGTATAGTGACATCTATCACAAAAATGAAGATCTGACACTCAAAGACAGTGCTTATAGTTTGGACCTTTCATCCCATTTAGAAGTGAATATTTTTTTTCAAGATGAAACCTTATCCTACCTGATGATTCAAGAATATGTGCACTGGCAAGCGGAAGCAGATTTGCTTCCTGACCACTGTTAGGTTAGCAACATTTCTGTGAGCAGAGTATGCCAGTAAGCATTACTTTAGAATCTATGCTTATAATTGTTACTTTTAAGATCTAGATAGGAAAAGCATCCAACAGATAGTATTTTCCAAAATCTCTCTTTCAATTTATGAAACTGCAGAATATGTTTTCAATATAATGTACGGTACATATGTGCAAAA